AGAGCCCTGGCCGCAGGAGCACCTCCTAGCCCGTGGGCACCCAGACCTCACTAGTCCTGCAGCCTCCTTGGGGCTCCTGCAGGTGGACGGAAGCCACTTGCACACCGTGAGTAAAGGCAGGTGAGAACACTTAGATGCCCTTCTGCCGGCTCTTCCTTCAGAGACAATCATGCAAGTCACCCAATTCTTTGGCTAGAAAATCTTGAAAATATGGGATTGGGAAGAATTGCATAAAGTACCTCCGGTCTCATTCGAAACCAAACAAATGAATCCTTGGGGCATGCCAGATAGAGGCTTCTGCCCGTGTCAGAGAACTTTGAGTGAGCAGTCAGGGGTTTCCCAGCCCCTTCACTGTTAGACAGAACTTTCTAGAACTTAGGCCCACAGATCCTAATTTGTTTGAATTGGAGCTTCTCAAAGTGTTTTCCGAGGACCTTGCGTCCAGGGATTTTGTAAGGTTCTCCCTTCTCCTACCGCACAACTGTGTGAGGCCAGATTTTCTTTGTGTACTTGAACCAAAACAACATATCACACAGACTGAGGAATAGATATCAGATTCGGTCTGTCTTCTTTTATGCCAGACATTGAAGAAAGTTGTCACTCTTCTCACCAAATTGTTTAAAAAAAAAAAAAAAACAGCTGTTTCTCATAAAAAGTATGTTAAAACAGAATAGCTCTATCGTTAAATGGGAAATAGTTAATATTCTGTTTCAGATGAGAGAACGCATCAATTTTTAATATGATAAAAACAATAGATATGACCCCCACAAACAGGCGCCCTTTGGGATCTTCAGTCATTTTTAAGAGCATGAATTTGAGAGTCTTTCAAATATATGAAAGGAGCTTTCATGTCCACATTTAGGTCCCATCTTTTCTAGGATAAATTTCTCCAGTTCCTCCCACAGGTCCTTCTGTGACCAGTGGTATACCCATTAGCTACACTACAGTCCATGAGTGACTCAGAGCAGGGCACCCCCAGAGCAGAATGTGATCCCACGAGGGTTGTGCGCCCGGGAACTACCTCTCTCAGCCTAAATATCCCGCCTCCATGAAAACATCCCAAGTTGCATTTGGGAGAAGTCCTGTCAGCCCATCCATTCATCTCCTCCTGAACTGGCAATAACTCAAGCCACCGGGACTTTTTTCTCTTGCTCTTCTAGAGAAGTGGGTCACACCAATCCCATCTTTGTGCCATTGAGTTTTTTGAACCCAACTTAGAATATCACACTTATCGCTATGAAATTCTCCTTTAGTTTCGTCTCTTGTAATCTTCCTGAATCTTAATTCTGTCATTTAGTGTATTAACTGTCCTTCCAACTTTTCTGTCATCCACAAAATTGATGAACATGCCACCTGCCTCTATTCTTGTCACTGATAAAAATACACCACGTGGGACCAAATCTCATGAGCCCCACTAAATACCTCTTCTGTGTTTAGGGCAACCCATTAACAGACACGAGCAGCTATGTATGGACCTAATGAGGTTGTCATTGACCTCAATACTCATCCTCTGCTCCACAGGACACCAGACTTAAAACCCATGAGTGATTCCTGCTGCCCCTCCCTCTATGCTTTCTGCCCACTGATGTAACTTCACACATCCCCAATTTAAGCCACCCCCCCCCACACACACACACTGCAGAGGAATCATTCTTCAAATGGTTCAAAAAAATACAAATTTACTGAGCATGCTGTATGTCAGACCCTGTGCTTTGGGTTAGAACTACAGAGATGAATCGGATATTCTCAGATTCTAGAATTGTGCTGCGGGAACTTCTGCCTCCACCCTCGAGGCCCCACCGCCAGACCCTAGCCCTCCTTCCGGGCCCGCTGAGCAGGGACGGGAGCCCCCTTGCGGGCATGGCTGCTCCTACTGGATTCCCCGGGGGAGGGAGGGGTGCCCCTGATGATTTCAGTTAGAATTCAGTGACTTTGCCTCAGAACCATTCGGCTTCATGCTGCCATGTTTGATCAAATAAGCTTCACTGGGCTGGAAACCCAACCATGGAGTTAAAGTCGTTTGCATGAGAAAAGGTGGTCAGCTCACAGGGAGGGTCACCCGTGTGCAAACCCAGGACCGTGGATGGGGAGGGTCACCCGTGTGCAAACCCAGGACCGTGGATGGGGAGGGTCACCCGTGTGCAAACCCAGGACCGTGGATGGGGAGGGTAACCCGTGTGCAAACCCAGGACCGTGGATGGGGAGGGTAACCCGTGTGCAAACCCAGGACCGTGGATGGGGAGGGTAACCCGTGTGCAAACCCAGGGTCGTGGATGGGGAGGGTAAGCCGTGTGCAAACCCAGGATCGTGGATGGGGAGGGTACCCGTGTGCAAACCCAGGACCGTGGATGCTTCGCCAGGACGACAGCTCCCGTCCAGAACCTCGGACTGTCCTCAGCCTCCTCGATAGCCCCGTGTCGTGGGCCGGCGCGCGGGGACACCCCACGGCCAGCAGCTGGCCGGGCGCGCGCGCGTTCACGTCAGCAATTGGGAGCCGTCTGACGGAAGCGGGCGGCTCAAGGCCAGAAGCCAGGCCACCGGGAGGGCGGGGCGGAGGCGCCCCGGAGGCCCGCTGCCTCTCAGACAGCCGCCTGCTCACCCCCACACCCCCCGGGAATCTCTGGGGCAGAAGCCAGGGGCCCCGGAGGGCCACCTGCGCTTCCGCCCCATGAGACTTCAGAGCCCTGAGGGCCATGTGTCGTGGCTCCCGCTTGGGTCCTGTGCTGGTGGCTCCCAGATGGACGGGGAAGAGAAGCTGGAACCAGAGCGAAGATCATCACCAGGGTCTCCGAGGCGGGATTTCGGGCCGTCCCATTTAGTGTGAGTTACGGGGAGGGTGGCAGGTGGGGTCTCTTCGGGGCCTCACCCAGTAGCCTGCGATGCTCAAGGCTCGAAGACTCCCCGGGAGTGATAAACAGTGGGGGGTAAGCCCGGCGCCCAGCGCAGCCCCACCTCGCCCTCTGCAGCAGTCTCCTCACCTCTAAAACGGGGTTGTGGTTGTCACCCAAGTCACGGGGTTATTTGTGACTTACCGTTGCCACGTGCATGGTCAGTGCCTGACATTGAGCGCACTCTCGGCGAGTGTTAGTGGTTCTACGTTTTTACCACGGGAATCCTTCGGAGCCAGTGTCTCTCTTGGACACGGACGGTGTGGAGGAGATGAGCGAGCAAGCTCGGCCACACACATAAGTGATCGTGTTCTAAGACTGCCTTACCCCTTTTGGGATGATTTTGTACACATTTCCCTCCGTGGCAGGCAGGTCAGGACAAGTGTTTACGACCTCAGCTTTACACAGGAGAAGACTTAAGGCGGGAGAAGGTGGGCAAGCGCCCCAGGCTCCCGGCTAGGGTTTGGTGGACACAGGATGGGCCTTCTCCTGCCTTTCATCCTCCCATCACCTGGTTCCTCCTCGACGCCAGAATGTAAGCGTTCCCACAGACTGGCGTGCCATTACTACCAAGTCCAAAAACACCAAGTCTCAGCTGTCCAAATATTTGTCAGCCCTCGGCGTTTGGAGAAAAGCGATTCGGTTCATACTTGTCCCAAATAAATATAAATGGCACCAACAGAAGGACCGGCGCCCAGGACAGGAATGAGGGCTTGGAGATCCTTGCTGTCAGCGAACTGTTTCTCCCCTGCTGAAGTATGCCCAGCATTGTAATTCTCTGTAGCATTCGAGGGGGCTGAGAGCCTCGAGCAAAAACGGAGATGCCACCAGCCCTGGTTTTTGGGTTTTGTTTTGGGTTTTTTTTAGGGAAAAGGCGTGTTTTGCCAGCAGGTGGCGACAGAGAAGCAGAAGGTTTAAACCTATTAATCATAAATCTGAACTGGGAGATCATCTCACCCAACCTGCAAATGTTATTCCCAAAGAAATTAAGGTTCACAGAGGGTCTGTGACTTGTTTAAGGTCATACACCTGGTTAATGGCTGAGCCAAATTATACTCCGTTCTCGCCATGAACTCAGAATGTGCACGAACACAGACTGCCTTTCAAAATAGCCTGACATCCTCATCATATGAAGGAAAATACCACTTCTTTTGAGTGTGTTCATCATTGCAGCATGCAGCCAAGCTGATGGGCTCATCAGGCCCTCAGCTTTCTGAGCTGGGGAGGTGGGCAGAGAAGGGATAGAGGAAGAGAAACAGCTATTTTTGGTGTCCTTCTGAGGCTTCATAACACGTTTGTGCTGCCTCTGGGCGCTTCCTGGCCATGACCCCCGCCACAGCCGTCAGGGACTGTGGGGTAAGAATACCCCTTCCCGACCACTCCTTCTACTTTATTAGCACCAGCTTATAGTGGGGGCGTTCAACATTTTACTGAAAGGCCAGGCGCCGCTTTGCTATCTACTGCTGGTGGCACAGCGTGAGAAGCAGAGACTCAGGAAATGAGGGGACCACCTGCCCTCTGAAGGGGCCTAGATTTGTTCTGTATCGTTCTAAGGAAGAGAACATAAACAGATGGGTAAGTCAGAGGTACCTAAAATGACTTTGGGCACATAGTGGGTGCTTCATAAGCGTGGATGGAGGGATGGATTAAGATTTCAGATCGATACAATGAAACATTTTCTAACAGTCTCAGTGGTCCAAGAAGGAATGTACTGTCTTGGTTGAGTATGTAATGAATTCCCTGTCCCTGGATGTATTCAAGCACCAGCCATGCAGTCACTTGGTAGGGATGTTGTAGAAGCATGCTGGGGGAGATTGGTTTGGATTGGATGAGCTTTTGGGTCCCCTTGAATCCCAGGATCCTTATTTTCTATGATTCTTGGTGCACAGTGAAAGAATGGAAAAGGCAAAGATGTTTCTGTCTTTGGTTTTCAGAGTTTTCCAAGAGAAAAATCCTAAAGGTTTCAGGTGGCCTTCTAAAGCCTGGTCCCATGTTCCTTTACTAAACTTTCTGCCACAACTGAAAAATGTTATCATCCTGGAAGTTCATTTGAGAGCTTCTGCTGGTTTCACCTAAATAACAAGTCTGCTTCTTTTTAATTTTGAAAATCAGGGGAAATGGACTTGTGGCAACCTGGATCGGTCCTTTTAGATGCAGGTAATTATACAGCCCAACCTCCTGGCCATGACTAGACGGAGACACATAGGATGACAGAATTAGGAGAGTCTGACAAGCCAGCGGGTGGCGCAGAGGCCACTCTTGTCCATCGGGTAACAAAAGGGAAATGAGAAACGTGAAGACTAAGATGTACAACAGGAGTGAGTTCCTCACCCCCAAATGAGGCTTTGACGCTCATTCCATCTCGAAGCATACCCTGACTTCCTGCTATTTCCTCTTCTTTCTTTGCAGAGGGGTATTCAGCTTTCCCTTCACGTGAGTGGGTGTTGTTCGCTTTTTACTGAATTAAGTGTTTGAAACTCCAACAGCAAACCCAGCTCTCGGTCTTAGGGCAGATTTTACCGGTAGGGAGAGACAGGGTGGAGGAAAGGACTCTGACCTCTCATTTCTTACCCCCTCCCTCCAACGTGGAGCCTTGGACAGTTTCTCTGAGAGGCTCCTGGCTGAGAAATGCCGTTAGACACCCAAAGCGAATTTTTAAAAATGATGCGAGGAAGTGGGATGAGCAGACTGACCTTTCATGGAAAGATGAAATCATGTGCTTGGCAAATCGGAAAAACTAACAAGCTTAGAGAAAGCTCACCGCAGCCAAGAGCGAGCAGAACCTCCAGCACCTTCCTCCTCTCCCAGGGCCTCTGGGAGGGTGCCCCTGGACATCCCAAAAACAGGGAGACCAACTGACCAACTTCTGGTGCTCCCTGAGAAGCTCACTGGCCTTCCTGAGCCTGAAAAGATTCTCACTGATTGTCTTTAATCCCTTAAATAATACATGTGTGAACTTGGCTCCCATGTAAATGGCTCTAAAGAAAACTCCCCAGCCTGAAAATATACACGCGCATGTGCGCGCACACTCTCAAAGCACAAAACCCTTTTGCAACTTTACCTCTAATCTCAGGCTGTGGAGGGGAGGGTTGCTCTCTGGACCCTCTTACTTGTTTGCGTTACTGGGGATCTTAGGTCCTCCCCTCAGTCTCTATCTGCCGCCATTAGATTGTCCATGTGTCTCACCCATCTTTGTTCATTGACTCAATCACCAAATGTTGACCAAGGACCTACATGGGGTAGGCACAGTGAAGGTTTACATGATGAGCAAGACCCATGCCCTGACCTTGAGATTTTCAGAATTTTACAGAGGGATAATTTATACTGGCCAAGTGTTTCCTGCTTGCAGGTAAGGAAACTAAGGCTCAGATAGACTCTGAGCCTTAACAGGCTAACAGGCAGTAGGAAACAGACCCAGGTCTTCTGACTTCAAACCCCCTGAGCACCCAGGAGAGTCTGGTGTGTTTTGTAGGCTGTCAGTAATTCATTCTTATCTCTGAAGGCAGGGGCGGTGTGGAGAAGAGCACAGTCAGCCTTAAGCCAAGTCTCCCCCCGAACCCCAAGCTGGGTGTGAATATCCATTATGTCCCCATCCCTGGGGTAAGGCCAGATGCTTCCTGTTCTTGTAAGTCACCAAAAGTTTTACTGTTCTTTCCAGGATTTGTTCCAAAAGAAGAATTAAGCACACAGTCTTTGGATCCAGTATCCCAGGGAGATGCAAGTAAGTGAACTGACAACTGGAAACCCAGAGGGGCTGTGACATCCGATCTGCTCCCCTCTCTCCACACTCAGCCCACCCAGATCCCCTTCTCTCCCACCCTGGATCTATTTATCTCCTCTCTTCTGTCACTTTGTTCTAAGGGGAAAGGGAAGCTCATGGAGGATTTAAACTGTCTGTGTGCATGAAGGGGAAAGGATCAGGTTTTTTCAACATCACCATGGCAACAAGGTGGGATGGAAAGGGGAGACAAAGGAGGGGGTTGAAGGAAGAGACGGGCTTGCCAGCAGGGTCAGTGGCCCCGTGAACAGGATGGCAGACAGAGCTCTGAGCTGGAGGTGGAAATGCGGAGAAATAGGCAGATTCAGGAGACAGAGAAGGACGAATCTAGAGGTTTGGAGGTGGAGGTGTGAGAGAGGAAACTGACGAAGATGATTTGAGCACCTGCGATACTACCATGGGGACCCCTGGGATGGGGCAGGTGGGGGCAGGGAGATCGCTGCTGACTGCCGTCTTCCACAAGACATTCGGCCTAGTAGACAGTTGGCTACCCAGATCTGACTTGAGAAGGAGCAGCCCACCCGGGAATTCCGAGTTGGAAGATGATGAGCTAGGATTCAAAACCAAGGTTATGAAAACAGGAAAGGTGACCGAGGGAAACAAGAGGCCTTACACCTGAAGAACTTCAGCACTGAATAGGTGGAGGAGAAGCCACCTGAAGATACCAGGAAGGAAGGATCTGGGAAAAAGAGGAAAACCAAGAGGCAGTTGAGTGTTGCGGGCCAAGGAGATCACCTGCAGATTCCCTCAGAGAGTCGTTGCAAGTCAGCCACCCGTGGGCTGGGAGTCCCAACCCAGCTATGTAGGAGAATCACCTGAAGACATTTTTAAAAACTCAAGATGCCCAATTCCTGGCTCATACCTACTGAATCACCCTCACCCTAGATCTTCCTACTCAGGATACAGGTTGACCACACCAGCATCACCTGTGGGCTTGTCAGAAATGCTAAATCTCATGCTCTACCTCCGACCTACTGAATCAAGTGATTTCTTTGCGCGTCAAACCTTGAAAAGCCCATCCCAGAGTGATTCCCGGGCATCCTCCTTTGTTGAAGCTGCGTAAGCGACTCTGATACATATCCAGGGTTAAGAAACACTGGCCTAATGCATTGGACAGCACAAAGTATTCATCTATAAAATCGTATGTTGGAGAAAACCAAAGCAATTAAGAAAATTGGTAGATTGATTCCTGTGGACACTGTCACCTTTTCTTCCTTGTCCTCCAACCTCTGTCCTCTGTGACAGTAAGAAATTGCTCATGCAGAACATTTAGTGACTCAGTTCTATCCGGGAGTATTGATGTCATCTTCCCATCGGCATGTTTTCATCTCACTACGAGGAGGCCACTAGGTCTCAGCGCACGTGCAGAGCTGAAACCATGATCAATAAAGCATCGTGGGAAATGGAGAGCACGGGTGATTCCAATGTCAGCCATCAGGGTAGTGAGTAAAGAGAGCCAAGCAAATAGAGAGCATCTTAGCTTCTTAAAACCTAGCTATGAAGTGAGCACTTCAATCCTGAGCACAGCTCAAGATGTAAGAAATAAGAAAAAAATTGTCTATGAAGAAGCAAAACAGAGACTCAAAATCCATGTGCTTTATTTATTTAAAAAGAAAATCACCTTTGGGCCTCATTCTAATTAAGTTATTAAAAAAAAAAACTTTTCATTTTAAAAGGCATATTGAGCTAATCTGCTGACAGCTGGAAGGAAAACCCCTGTCCAGGGGCGCGTCTCAGACTCTCGTGTGCACACAGTTCACTTGGAGATCTTGTTAGAATGGGGCTCTGATTCTGTGGATCTGGGTGGAGCCTGGGAGTCCTCATTTCCAGCACACCACAGGTGCGGTGAGCAGGGGGCCCTGAAGAACACCACTGCCACCTGCTGGCAACAATTCTCATTGCCAGCTCAGACCCAGGGAAGAAGGGGTTGGCCCTGTGTGGGGTACAACGTCACAAGCCTTAGAACAGTTCTGCTTTTTCCCAGGCTTCCGCGGCATGGTTAGGGCTCTCACTTCTTGCTTTTATTTGATTCTTCCAATCTTCATCTCAAGGATCATGCTTTGGCATAGGCAGTTTGGGGGCAGCAAAGGACAAGGGAAGCCAGCTGAACAGGACGAGTTGGCAGGCACTGAATGTCCAGGCAGACAGGAAATGAAAGTTTGCAAGATCCACTAATGAGCCAAGGCACTAATTCCAGATGGAGCAGAGTCAGCCAGGCCCAGAGAGGTCCCTGTCATCGCCCACTTCTCTGCCTTTCATTGCCAGGCGCCAGTGCAAGGTGATGAAGCACATTCTCAGATACAACTTTTTTCCTTAATCTGCCAATTCTGCAGTATCACTCTTTAATAAGTATCTCTTACCGATTCTGCTTAACACTGTGTCAACTCATGTCCATTTCTTGCTCTCGTTTAATATATACCTATATCCCTCCCTGCCTACTGATCTCCTCCTGGGGAACGGGAAGACCATGGTCGCACGGAAGCAATGCAACATGCATCGGAGAGAAGAGAAGCCTAGTGGTGGCCTCCTGGGCGATTGTGCTGGAGCCTAGAGAGTTCCAGGCTTGTCCAGGTGGCTGCATGCCCAGGCACAAAGGACAGCACTGCCCGCGTGTCCTCGTGGATACTCCAGCCCAGAAATTCCTACCTTTACTGTCCCTCTCTCTTTTTTCCCCCCATGGATCTCTGTTTTGAAATATTTTTGTCTCCCAAATCTCAGTTGTCCAACGATCCATTCCCCATTTTTTTTTTACCAAAGGGATATATACCTCCTAATAAGAACTTCTGAACAGTATTGAATAATCAGTTTTATCATACTAAGATGATATAATTTCAATCGAGAGCAAAGAGGACTTTAACTATTAGCTTATGTGGCTTTCCACCAACTCCTGCAGCATTTGAAAGGTTGAGAAAAGCTTTTAGCCCCCTGCCTCCCTCACAGCCTTCGTGTATGCACAGGGGTCCAGAGATCCTAGCCAGAACAACTGTCTTAGTCTTTATCACAACTAAAAGAGAGGAAAAAATTCAAAGCTTGCTACTAACAAGTCCCGAGATGTGTAGATATATGTGGGTAATTCTATGGCTGCCTCACCTGGGGAAGTGAAGACGATTGGTATCAATTTCTCATTCTACCTTTCCTGCCCTCCCCTCAGCACTGGCCTTGCAGAATTTTTCATACCTTTATAAAAACCCAACACATAATTCTACAAAATTAAGATGAGGGTAAGAGACCGCAAGCTCCTGAGACTCAATCTTGGTGAATTCTACATCTGAGGGGTCTGCACTGAAATGGTCTGAGCCGAGGAAACCATCCGCAGGGCTTTCCCACACTTGACCGGGAGGCCATTGCTTCTGAAGGCTCTAAGTTGGCTGATACAGAGAATTCTAAAGCAGTTATAGAAATAAGTGCTAGCCCAAGTGTCCAGGACCTTGGCGAAAATCTGTTATGAATTTAAATAAGTGAATAAACCCTGCGTCTTGCCATTACTTTTTACTTTCTTTGCATTGGATTCTCAGGGAGCTCTGGGGGAGAAAGAGGAGAGAAAGCCTGGGTTAATGCAATGAGAGATCATCAGAATAACAGAGCCCTTTTCCATTCCTCAGACTGCAAAGTTGACTTGTCATTTTTAATCGATGGGAGCTCGAGCATTGGCAAACGCCGATTCCGAATCCAAAAGCAGTTCCTGGCTGATGTTGCCCAAGCTCTTGACATTGGCCCTGGCGGTCCACTGATGGGCGTTGTTCAGTATGGGTAAGTGCTGTTCTTAATCCAGAAACCGAGTGGTGCCACATGCTGAATCTTATGCCACAAATAATACCATCCTACAGCACAAATTCATCTTCTTCCCTAATACAAATGTAAATGAAAGAAATGGAAGCAATTTCAGGTGCCACTTAAGAAATCTGACTCTTCCAGAAGGGAAGGACAGGTTAGTGAACACTTAGAAGTAAACGGCATTTGCACGCAGGGTTCGTAGAGAGCATATTTATTTGGGAATGAGGAGAGCTGGATTCAAGTCTTAGCTCAGCCAGTAACAAGCTACGTGGTCTTGGGCCAGGGCTTCGCCTCTCTGTCCTCAGTTTCCTTTTCTGTAGGCCAAGAAGGTGGGCTGCACCCTGTGCTCTATCCACCTGGAGGTAAGACGCCTAGAAAATATGGTGCTGTAGGTTGACCTTTCTCTTTTCTCCATATGGCCTTAGGCCTCTGTGCTAGTCCTGGAAAAGTTTACCAGGTAATGGGAAAGACTGGGTGGGGAGGGGAGTGGCCTCTATCAGTCAGCTGAGCACCAGGTGACTGTCCCCAGCCCATCCTATTACTCTAGTTAGGGTAGAAATTGAGTGTTCATACTGACATCCAAGCTCAACCTTTTCTCTTATTGGGGGTAATAAGTCAATCTTATTTCATAATAATAGGTTTCTCCCTAAACGCCGATATACAGATGTTAACAGATAATAAGCAAACAATTGGAAGAGCAAACAAGCACAGATCTCAAACGATAGTTGGACTTTTGACCAGGAACCATTAAGGGCAGGATAATGGTCTCACTTTCCACAAAGGACCCTCGGACACAATATGACCCCTCCTTCCCCACAGATCTTCAGCTTAACCTTAGCAATGGAAACTAACATAGACCTTGGTGCCTCTTGCTGAGAAGCCACGGCCCCAGCTTATTTGCCTCCCCCCACCAAAAAAGTAAAAACATTTATACCTGACAACAATCAGAGGGTCTCCAGATCCTTCAAAATTTCCCAAGGATCTCCAGGAGCAGTATTTTAACCAAGGTTGTTCTATCAAAGGCCCTAGAATATTGATTTTTGAACTGTCAAAAGAAATAATCAAAAACCCTTTATTTTCATAGGAACGTATAACGTTTGTATTTTTAGCATTAAATCCCAATAACACATGTAGTACTGTCTCCTGTTCCGGTGAAGAAAAATTAGTAGATGAGTTACCTGGCACTTGTATATAGTCAGAGTCAAATAGATGAAAATAACCAATTTCTGCAAATGTCAACTCTCGATGTCAAAGGATCTATCTTGAGGACTTTAACTTGAAGTAGAAAAATAGGATTTTTTTTTTTTTTTGGTCATTGTTTTCTTGTTTTCAATATGTCAACCTATTTTCATTCCTGCACTACTTTTTAAAGATAGCAAACAGAGGGCAGTCTTCTCTGGGGAGGAAATGCAAGCACTTTAGCACCAGATGTCCCCGGTCAATTTTATTGGGGGGTTCAAAGCTTGGTGTGTCATCTTGCATTAAAAATAGCTGCTTTAAAAGCTGTGTATACTAAGGTTTATAGTATAATATGAAAATAGGGTAATAAATATGTCAAGGAAGAGAAAAATGGCAGGAGAAAGGTGTGTGCCAATGAGAAGGTGGATGAACGAGCCAATGCAGCAAGGAAGGAAAACCAATTCAGTAAAGGCTCCTCCCCGCCCCCAGAAGACCATTTCCTCCCCATTTTCCTAATGTGATCACCATTTGCAGGAGAGAGTTACCTCCATGCTTTCCAATTTCACTTTCTAAAAATGCCTTGCTATTCGTCTTTTTTGCGTCCCGGTCCTTATTAATTCGGAGCACTTCAGAGAAATGGTGTCTGTTTTCCTTCACTTTATGCTCATAGAAGTGCATCAATCATCGGCACCCTCCTTAAGCCACAGGGCGCAGCGGAAAGCACAATGAACTAGTGACAGGATATCTTGAATTCTGGCCTGAGCTCGGCTGGGTGACCTGAAGCAGGTGCTTTGATTTCTCCATGGGAGCACTGCCATCTATAAAGTACTGGGGGTGGATGGGATGATGTATTAGGGCTCTGCCAGCCTGACGGTCTGTGATTCAGTGACTGGCTCTGTACTCGGAAGACACCCAATAAATGAATGTTGGGCTAACAGACTAGATGAGCCGCTTTTCCCTTCCTTCCAGCCTCGGTTCCAGTTAGAAATAGGTGCGGAGGGGAGGTGGGGTGATTAGTAACAGCATGATGTTTTGCATGGAGGTGACGCATCCTTCAGTGGAATGTGGGGAACACAATAAATTGGAGGGCGGTATAAGAAGGATGTGATGAGGCACAAGGGGAAATCCTCGTGCCCAAGTGAAATTGCTTGATTTCAGCCTCCTGGCTTTCTCCGTGAGGGGCTCCCTCCAATCCTTTCTTTACCAAATGGTCTTAGTGCCCAGGGAGGGAGGGAGTGGGGCGGAAAAGGGGAGGACGCAGGAGTCAACGCAGATGTGGGGCCTGTGTTTCTGGAAAAGGAAAAGCAGGAAGAGCCAATGCTTGGCCGGCTGGGAATCTGATTCTTCTCCTGGTGCAATGTCCACCTTACCATCACTGGGATCAGCCCTGCTCTCTCAGAATCACAGAGCCTTGGGGCCATAGAAAGATCCTGCTTCCACCTCCTGGTGTTATAGAGAGGAAATGAGGCTCTAAAAGAAATGACCAGCCCATCAAGAATGAGCCCTCCAAGGAGAGGCCAGTGCTGCCCTCAGAGAGATTGAGTGACTTTCCCAAGAGCACACAGCGAAATGCATGACCACTGGGGAGAAGGCAAACATTAAATCTTGGGTCAATTCCTAAAATGTCCAACAGAATTGACTTCAAAGTGAAGATTTTGCTTATCTGCCCAAAAAGCTTCTGATAATTGAGCCTTTCCACCACACTGAAGACGGAGACACTATCCTTAGACAAAAAGCCAAGGACCGAGCCCTCATCTGGCAAGTGAGTTCTAATCGAGAAGCACACAGCAACAGTCTCGTGATCGCACTTAATACCAATGGGGACACAGAAAGGCCAAGTGAGAGAACAGCCAGAGCAAGTAGCTGTTAGGTGAACTCTAGCCCGCAGAATGAACGAAGCCAAGCCGCTTGCGTTTTCACAGCAGCCTGGATCCACGGGTGCTAAGTGCCCCCTGACCTTCAAGATGATTTGGTTTTAGTCTCCAGTTTCAGGATAAATGGAATAGAGTTGCACAAGTTCTTCTGAACTCTGTAATCAACCCTAGGATATCAACAGTTGGAAAACGGTTATAGAACAAAGCAAAATGTTGGTTTTTCTTCATTTCAAAATGAAATAGACTTTTCTTTGCTCGTGGTTCTGTCGCAGTCGCCCAGTGTTTTGGAAAGTGGCTCCGGGCTGGGCTGCACACCCTTCCTCATCCAGGGCTGCAGCCGTACCCTCAGCGGCTCCCCCCACCCCTCGCGGTCACCCTCTCCTGGAAGGAAAGATGCCCAGAGGCTCCCGTGGGTCAGCTGAGCCACCGTGTGGGGGACAGAGTGGAGGGAAGAACAAGTATCAGGACAGGTGTGGTAGGCAGAAGAGTGGCCCCCAAACTCGTCTACCTCTGAGTCCTTGGAACCTGTGAATATGTTGCCTCACATGGCAAAAGGGACTCTGTAGATGTGATTAAAGTTAAGGACCCTGAGATGGGGGATTATCCTGGATTATCCAGTGTCCCCATCTAATCACATGTGACCTTGAAAGCGGAGAACCTTTCCCTGCAGTTATCAGTCAGAGGAACATCGGACTATGGAAGAGTGGTCAGAGATAGACGACTGCTGGCTTTGAAGATGGGGGAAGGGAGCCGTGAGCAAAGGATGCAAGCAGCCTCTAGAAGATGGAAAAGACAATGGAATGGACCCCCCCATCCTCACCCCAGAGCCTCCAGAAGTGAACACAGCCCTTCCGGAGAGACCCATGTCAGACTGCTGACCTCCAGAACTGTAAGCCTAATGAGTGTTGAAGCCACTAGGTTTATGGTCACTTGTTACAGCAGAAATAGGAAACTAATACATTCTAGCACATTCTCTTGAGTCTGCAGCAAAGGAGGTGTGGGCAGGGCTGGAGCCTGAGACAGCTCCATGGGGCTCAGAGCAAGAAGGTCCCAACTTCACACTGGCATTACCTAGGGAGCTTTAAAAATGTTGATACCCGGGTCCCATTCCAGACTTACTAAACCAGAATCTGGTTAATACCCAGGAGCTGATATTTTAGTCTGTAATTCCAGTCTGTTGCCAAGAGGGCAAAAGACAGCTCAGCTTCCCAGGAGTCAAGTGGCCACGCTGTCCAGAGCCCAGATCCCTCCAGTGCCCACCCCAGTCTTCTCACGCCCTCCACTGCCTTTACAGAAATTAACAGGATCCCAGAGCCCCTGCCTGTCATCGGCTCTCCGGGGCCTAACTGCACAGACTGTGCCTCTACCCAACACTCTAAGAGACAGCAGGTGAGCCCTTGAGCCACAGTCCTCAGGGACACAGTCTCAAGGCTGAGTGAGCCCTGAATAACATTTACCCAAAAATCCTATGCTTTTTCTGTTCCTCCCCATTGAGTCCTCCCAGAGGTAAAAATAAAACAAGGACTGCACTTGACTTCCACCACTTGCATTCACCAGCCCCGCCCCCACCCGCCCTGCCATTGCGTTGACTGGGCTTATTGCAGGGCTCCCCTGAGATCATTCTCCCTATGTCCTGATCCCTAGATCATTGTGCTAGAGAAGCAGATAGCTACCTCGGTGCACATTAGAACCACTTGGGGACTTTTTGAAAATCCCAATTCCCGGACCAAACCTCAGATCGATTAAATCAGAGTTTCTGAGTGTGGGACCCACGCATCATTAATTTTCAGAACTCCCCAGGTAACTCTATTGTGCAAGCAAAGAGTGCATGCTCGGCTATTCCCAAAGGCTTGTGCTGTCATCCGGGGCATCCTCTCCCGGCTCTGGGCTGCCTCCTCCTTCTTTTCTCAGCCTTTCTCATGC